ATGGGTGCATCAGAGGCAGTGCGATTGGCACAGGATAGAGCAGGGTTTAGGGCTGTTGTACATAGAGTTGCTATGAGTCGCAAGCAACTCGATGGCAGATAACAACAACAACAATTGTTATTATTCTATCTTTCTAATTCTTGGCTTTTGAAATTAGTTTCCGTTTGAAGCACATAGCAAAATCTATCATTTAAAATTATGTAGATGGGCCTTTGGTATTGATTTTTAAAATGATAAGATCTTTAGTATTAATCTTTTAGCACATGCCGCTATCCCATGCAATATACCGAGCTTCTCAGGCACTTGAATAAGGCTATATTTGTCTTTTTAGAGTCAACCATACACCAGCAAGGAACTATGATGGCACAGTTCATTATTCTTTGATTTGGTAACCAAAAGGTTGGTGATCCAAATCCACCAGCCACCAGCTGGAAAAAGACGAGACAGTCTCCTACAAAGACACAGCTCTGCTATAAAGGCTCTGAGACTTCGGCATTCCTCACCCTTGATATGACATCGCTGGCCATCTGGCTGATTTGAAATATGAAGAGTAATCCTGGACAATAATAACTTTCAAGGAGAACACTAAATCTGTTTGGATATTCAATACTTTTGCTTTTTTTTTTTTTTTACCAGGGTTTGCGACCTGTGTATTTTATTTTATTTTTTTTTTTTTTAACGCTGGTTGCTTACTTTTGCTTTTAAATAGTAAATTTTCTCTAGCTTGAACTAACTGTCCAGATTTTTCCATATTTGGAGAATTCCCTCATTTGAATAATATAATAGCATTTTGTTTGTAGGTACACATATATTTACAGAGTCCTTTCCCCCTTTCTTATGGGTTTAAAAATGCTTTGAATTTTCTTTTGTGGATCTAAGCAATAGTCCTTTATCCTTTCCCCCTATGTTATGAGCAAAATGTCATTTGATTTAAATTGACTCTAAGCACATTTCGTTTAGAGCAACCAAAGATTGCAATCTTAAGCCATGCTGATTAAATTTCACTCTTGAGTCAACAGTTTGTTAAGTTTGTGCTGTGCATGTGAGCGGGTGGCTTGACTGTGGAGAGGGCCCTGTGGCATACCAGGATTCTTCATCACCAAGTAACCACATGCCTTCGTAAGAAAAGTGTATGTTCTATGCCTGAATACCCTTTATGTCATTGGATAGTTCATTAATTTAACTTCTGTTACAAGCTAGGTATATGACTGCCTTGCATATATTATTACATCTCCTTTACTCCCCACTGCCACTCCACGACATGGTTATATCTCTGCAAGGTTCAAAATTTGGAAGGGTGTGCATTAAGGATGTGTCCTGTCTCCATATCTTTTCAATCTATATGTGGAACAGATTATCTGGGTGTCTGGGCTCTATGAGGAAAAATGTGGCATCAGGATTGGACAAAGACTCATCAACTATCTGCATTATGCAGATGACACAACCCTGCTTGCTGAAATTGATGGGGACCTGAAGCACTTGCTGTAGAAGGTCAAAGACTGCAGCCTTCAATATGGATTGAAGCTCAACATCAAGAAAACAAAGATTCTCACCACTGGGCAGGTTGGCAGCATCATGATAGGTGGTGAAGAGACTGAGATTGTTGACAGCTTCAGTTTGCTTGGCTCTACAATCAACACTCTTGGTACCAGCAGCCAGGAAATTAAAAGACAAATTGCATTGGGAAAGTTGGCTGTTAGAGACCTCTCCAAAGTACTGAAGAACAATGTCATTCTGGAGACTAACGTGCACCTGATACAGGCCATGGTCTTTGCA